CGGAGCATGGGAGCATGATAGCTACCGTACCGCCCAGCCGTGAGGCCCAGCAAAGAGGCGGAAATCGAGGGCGCAGACTGGAACCTTGCACCCACCCGCACCTGGGACCTAACGACGCCGGAACCCGGTGCCCGGGGTGTGGGCGCAGCGGAGCATGATAGCTACCGTACCGCCCAGCCGTGAGGCCCAGCAAAGAGGCGGAAATCGAGGGCGCAGACTCTGCTGGGGGAACCTTGCTGCGAAGGCACCTTCCTGTCCTCGACTCCGCCCCCTCCAGAGGGGCTCGGCTTGAGAATTCAAGATGGAGTCGCTGAGTCGAGCTGGGCAAGAGATGAGCTTAGCGGCTCTGAAGCAGCACGACCCCTACATCACCAGCATCGCAGACCTCACGGGCCAGGTGGCTCTGTACACCTTCTGCCCCAAGGCCAACCAGTGGGTGAGTGCCCGCAGGCCACTGAGGTCTACCGCCCGGCCACCGCCTCTTAAAGGGGCCGCGCGGACCGCCCTGGGTGGGAGGTGATGCCGGAGGCCAGGGCGGCAGAGACGAGGCCAAAGTCTGGAGAACCTGACCGGCGCCTGAGGGGTGTCGGGGCCTCGGGATTGGGAAAGAGGAGCCGAAGAAATAGGCCCCAGACATCCGGGGGGAAAGCCGACCGAGGGGAGGGTTGGAGGAGGATCAGTGCCTTGGGGTCGGGTCCGGGGAGATGGGTGATCTGCCTTCTTTGCTGATGTGTTAGGGATATGAGACCGGGGAGGTCAGAAAAGATACCTGCAAGTTGAGGATTATCGGTAAATTACATACACAAAATCTACGAAGCCAGCGCTCCTCCTCCCCCCTGCAACAGACATCAATAAGGGCCCCCTTCGCAGAGGTCATTTGGATCTAAAGATTGAAATCCAGTTAGTTTCCATGCTTGGAAGAGAGGTGTGGGTAAGCCCCGCTTTTACCCAACTACACTCAGTTTCCAGAGTTTTGGGAAAGACTTCAAGGCACTTTAAAGGGCTTCCATGTTAATTAAGTTCCCTTGAAGCCTTTGGAGAAGAGTGGCCCTAAAGGTGTCTCGTTCCAGCTGTGCTGCTCGTGATGTCATCCCTGAATGCTCCCATCAGATTAAATATTTTTGGGGGTTTGTTTGTTTTTTTGCACGGGAGGGGGTCCGAAAAAGTTACATTCAGTCTGTTCACTGACTTGGTCCCTGTTTGAAGCTTCCTTCATTGCTTTAATTACATAATTTCCTGTTGTCTGGTAATTGGTCCTTCTTAATTAACTCATTCAACCACATAGGTTTTATTTACACTTAGAACAATCATCCGTAAATGTTTGGTGAATTGGATTTATAAATGACTGATGTTCACACTTCAGTAAGAAACATCCTTATGCTAACAGAACAATGAAAGATTATCATCATCGCACATTCTTTACGATCTAATACAGGTATAAGTTATATGTAACCAGTAATTTTGTGAAAAGCGTTTGGTATTTATAAAGTTAATTCAGATGAAGGCAGTTGTCAAGATTATCTTGCTTTAGATCTTTAATTCACCTCCTTGAAGAGGAGGACATATGGGAAGCCACAAAGAACAAAATTATAGATTTTTTTTTAAGTGTAACTGTTTTAGAAACGTTGGCTTAGTTTGTAATTGTTCTGAATGGTTTTTCTTTTCTTGGTCTAATTATAAACTTGTGAAATATGGATTGCAGACAAATGTTAAAGACTTGTAATAACATTTGAAAGTCAAGAAGTAAACATTCCATGATGATATTTAAGCTAAGGCAATCAAGATGATACATATTTTTTTAAAAGAAGAAAAAATGCTGCAGATATAGGTATGTTGCCGAGTTGAACATCGCATATGCATTAATATGCATCAGTAGCATAGAAAGGAGCAAAAGAAATTGCTAAAAGTAGTTGGTGGAGTGAGAGAGTTAGCTTGACCTGTTCAAAAGTGATTAATTTAAAAAAATTATCTTAAACATGAAGTATTTCTTCTCCTTTGGAATATTTGGGATTGCATTATGGGGGTAAAACTAATTGTTTAATTGTCTCTTATAGGAGAAGACTGATATAGAAGGGACCTTATTTGTATATCGAAGGTAAGTTTTTAAAAAAGGTACATATTTTTAAATGTCATGGTAAACAATGTCACATGAAGTGGTTCAACCTTGTTGTTCATTTGTCTTTGGAACCTTCCTGCTTGACCCTTCAAGTATTCATTCATCTCTAGCTGTGAGAGTCTCAAATTACGTCTCGTCTTTGAGCCTTCCTGTGATTCAGAACACACAGAACTAGGACTTATTTAGGATCCTGGCAAAGTCTTAAACAGAAAACATTTTTTAATAATGAACGAGTCTTAAAACAGATGCCTTCCTCCCCACCCACCCCCACCCCTGTATTAAAAAAGATACATAGTTGAAATAAATATAATACATGTCCTTAGCTCCATAAAATCATATAGTTGAAAATGAGTCCTGCTGCTCTGTGGTTACTAAATGAGAGATTATCTTCTGTGACTCTGGTTCTGTCCCCTTTCCAACTCTCTCCCTAAAAGTTCTGGATTGTGTACAATGTCTTTTGTAATGTGTATGTTATTTAAATATATTTTCATTGATTTTAGAGAGGAAGGGAGAGGGAAAGAGAGATAGAAACATCAATGATGAGAGAGAACCATTGATCCCATGTACTGAATCACCCTGGAATGGGAACCAAAGACATTTCTTACTGTAGGATTTGAGGCATTTTCTATCTAACTCGGGAGAACTATGGAAAGACCTGTTTGGTACAAGAAAAATCATTATTGTATTGTCAGTCAAGTGATCCAGGCAGAGAGAGGTATTTAGGGAGAGTGGCAAGAGGCTCGGTGTGGCTGCAACAGGAAGAGCAAAAGGCAAAGGAGATGAAGGGGGTGAGGGGGGGACAGACATATTTCCTAAGGCCTGTGGCCTTAATAATAAGGACTTTGGCCTTTACTCTGGGGGACTGAGTCCTTGGAAGCTTCTGAGAGGAAGAGGGTTAAGATCTGACTTAAATTTTTTTGTTTACTATTGTAAATGCTAATATTGTGTAATGCGATAATATGTTCATTCTTAGAAATTGAAATAAGTAGATAACATTTCTGCAAACTGACAGTGACTATAGATTATTATTTTTCTTCTATTAAATCTAAGGTCAGCTTCACCTTACCATGGTTTTACCATTGTGAATCGATTGAATATGCACAATCTTGTTGAACCAGTGAATAAAGATTTGGAATTTCAGCTCCATGAACCATTTCTTCTGTATAGAAATGCAAGCTGTGAGTATATCTCTTTGTGTGTGTTTTTTTTTTAATATTTTTATTGATTTCAGAGAGGAAGGGAGAGGGAGAGAGAGAAACATCAGTGATGAGAATCATTGATCGGCTGCTTCCTGCACACCCTCTACTGGGGATCGAGCCCCACAACCCAGGCATGTACCGTGGCTTCCTGGTTCATAGGTTGATGCTCAACCACTGAGCCACACTAGTCGGGCGAGTATGTCTGTTTTATTGCAGTTCATATATTTACAATTCAAGTTGGGTGACTTTAGTTTCTATTAGCACATTATTTTTGGAGTTTTAAGTTATAAAAAAGTTTGGTCTATACTCTTTTATAGTTATAAATCAGTCTCAGTAAGATAAAATCTTTTGAATTGGGCTTCTAAAATTAAAATACTTTTGTTTACAATAACTTATGTTATTTTAGTTAACTATACTATTTAATATAGTAGCATTACATTATATTCCCATTGTTTGAAGGTAAGTTTCACCCTTTGTTTTCTTTTTTTTTAAGGGAGAACTTTCTAGAGTAAGACCATATATATAATTTTTTACAGAGAGGAGGGGAGAGGGATAAAGTTAGAAACATCAATGAGAGAGAAACATCGATCAGCTGCCTCCTGAACACTCCCCACTGGGTATGTGCCCGCAACCAAGGTACATGCCCTTGACCGGAATCGAACCTGGGACCTTTCAGTCAGTAGGCCGACACTCTATCCACTGAGCCAAACCGGTCAGGGCTCACCCTTTGTTTTTCATGTGACACTGAATTATTGGCCGCTCATGCCCCTGAGCAATAGGACTTAGTTTGAGAGACACAGGATGGGAACAGATTGCTATTTCTGTCCACAAAGAAGTACTATCTTTGCCCTGATTGTGGTATTTTTCAATCTGTTTAGTTGAGTGTCTGCTGGGTACAAATGCTGGGCCAAGAGGTACTATACGTTAATGTTGATGATACAATATCCTGTGTAGGATAGGCAGGCAGTTAAGTCAACTGAGACTCAGAGTTGAGTGGTAGGTACTCAGTTGGCTTCATAGTCCAGGGTCCTTTCAGGCATTTTACAGACTCTTAACAATGGTTGGATATAGTCGGCAAAGCTAGAATGGTCCATTCAAGATGTAGTGTACTAAAAAGTATGCAGTGCTTGGTTTCTGTATTTCAATGTGGGTAATGAACGTATGTATGGGTGAGGACAGAAGGTTATGCTGTAATTATCATCTAAGGAAATTGCTGGAGACAAACGTTGCTTCTGACTTAAAAAGTAAAAGTTACTGTGTTTGAATTTCACTTGACTCGGAGGTAACTAGAACTGGGGGGATGTCTTCAGAACAAAATATAAAAAGCTACTAGAAATTATGCATCTTTTCATTTCCTGAATGAGAAATGGCAAGGTCAATTTTGAAGCTAAAAGCCCCAAATTCTTCTCCCTAACTCACTTAGATTCCATCTAAGTAAAATGAAATCTCTCTCATTAATAAACTATTTGTCCAGGTAATTGAATTACCTCTGAGATTTTTAATTTCTATGGACATACTAGACATGCCTTTTAATACCTAATAGTTCTGATGGATTTATTTAAACAAATGTTAACAGTAGAGTTATTTCAGATGGCTGTTTTCTTTGTGCTGAAAATTCTGTTAAAGGGGAAATTCTGCAAAGGAACACATCCAACTTTTTAAAAAAAGAGAAATTGGTTTAATTCTGCTCTTTACTACCTGAAAACTTAATTTAGCTATTGCTTCTAAGAACAGTTTGATCATTAAAATAATCAGTAGGGAAAATTATCAGAGGCCCATTGACTCAGTTACCATTCAGTATAAGCCTAAAGTGAATGGTATTATATTTCTTTCACAAGTAAAGTTTCTTTTAAAGTTGAAAATGCAACTTAACACACATAAAATGGAACCATGATTAACCAAAAGTAACTAATCAGAGCTTCAGTTATCTGGAAATATTTCTATATCCATCTGTGGAAGAAATTAAGGCAAATTATAAGAAAGCAAGCTAATGTTAGATTTTATTTTGTGAAAGTCTAGCAAGTAAGTGTAATCGGGGGTCAGTATTCTGTAACCCAGCATAGTATCAGCATCATAGGTTAATTTGTTGTAATGTTAAGATCTTAAATCATCAGTAGTGTTTATTAGAGTATTCTTGAGCAGAAAACTGCACTAATGCATTTTGTTTTAGAGATTTTCAACTAAAGAGATTGAAACAAAGGTTTTCCTAGTTCAGTGGTTCTCAACCTTGGCTGCACATTAGAATCACCTGGGAATCTTTTTAAAATCCTGATTTCTGGGCCTCATCCTCCGGAAATTCTGTTTCTTTGTTACTAATGTTGTGGCCCCACCCCATAACAAAGAAACAGAATTTCCAGAGGATGAGGCCCAGAAGTCAGGATTTTAAAAAGATTCCCAGGTGATTCTAATGTGCAGCCAAGGTTGAGAACCACTGTCCTAGTTAAACAGAAAACTCGCTTAACCAGATCATTTCATTTCCCATTTAATTGGGCTCTGAATCATCTCCTAACAGTCTTACAGTTTCTGAAATTGCTAATTAGAAATTCAAGCACACGTCAGCTTGTTTTCAGACCAGAGAAAGGCCTGGGAAGGTCAAGTACAACACTGTGGGTATATTAGAAAGTCTAGAAAAGGAGCTTGGGGGAATATTTAAAGAAATAGCTGTAACGAGGAGAAGTGACAGGATAGCATAAAGTGATGTGAGAGTGTTAAGGCCTCTCTTGAGTAGTGTATATCTTGTGTCTCATCTTAACAGTAGGTCAGCAAACTGTTGAGTTGTTCAGGGATTTGTTCTTTAAATAAAAAGTTAATTAGTGTCTGATTGTATGTATAGGTAATTACACCTGATTCTGTAGCTGCACTCTGTTATTTTCCTGTGGGAAATACCACCAAGACACCTGACCCATTTTACTCAAGTTATACCTTCAGATCCAGCTTCTTTCACTCAAATCAATTTTTAGATTTAATATAATAGAAAATTGAACTATAATTTTTTCTAATTCCAAATTATTTTATTTTTCTTTATTTATATAAAATGCTCACCACCACCATCATACCCCCAGAAAAAAGGGAAAAATCTCACAAAGAAAATGCTAACCCTATTCAAGGACTTGGGTTTGGTGATTGTCTTGAATCTTTCAGAAGTAGTATGTTTTTTTGTTTGTTTTATTGCTTAAAGTATTACAAAGAGTATTACATATGTCTCCTTTTTTTTTTCCCCCTTGACATTCCCCTGGCCTCCCCTACCCTCCAGTGTCTTGTGTCCATTGGTTATGCTTATATGCATGCATACAAGTCCTTCGTTGATCTCTTACCCACACACACCCCCCGCCCCCCAACACTCCCCGGGCTTCCTGCTGTAGTTTGACAGTCTGTTCAATGCTGCTCTGCCTCTGTATCTATTTTTGTTCATCAGTTTATAATGGTCTTTATTATCCATAAATGAGTGAGATCATGCAGTATGTGTTTATATACTGTGCAAGGGCCTTTTGGTAACCACAGGACTGCAATGGGGCTGCAGTGAGGGTTGGGGAGACTGCAGAATCTGTAGTTACTAAGCAAAAATGATAGTCCAAGCACCTTATTTCTGATTACTGACTTACAGATGAGGAAACAAGTCCAAGAAAAGTTAAGAAACTTGTTCAAGTCACAGAGTTTATAAGTGATAGAGGCAGAATTCAAATCTAGGTCTGTTGAGCTTCAAAGCCAAAGTTCTTTCTATCCCCCTGCAACAATGAAATTGCTTCATTGATCCACATCCTAGAGCAGCAGTCACCAACCAATGGTCCTTAGACCACTGGTGCTCCGTGAGGTGCGAAAGGTGGGCGAACGCTGTCCTAGAGCATAGCTGTCAGTAGATCTCTGATGTTAGAAACTTTCTATATCAATACTGTCCCATATAGCCACCACCAGCCACATGTGACTGTTGGGCATTTAAAATGTGGCTAGTGCAACAAAGGAAATTTTTTTCTTTTAGTTTATTTACTTGAATCAATTTGCATTTAAATAGTCATGAGGCTCGTGACTGCCATATTGAACAGTGGAAATCTAAAGCAGGAATCCATGTTCAACCATGTCCTTTTGTTGCCATACCTGAATTGAACAAGCACTTGCGAAGCTTTGGATTAGATTTTTATGCTTCCATTTAGTCATTCCTTTTTAAAATTTATAAATGAATTCTAGATACAAAGACTGCAGAAGATATTCCTGAGGGTGGCTTTGCCATGGTAACACTCTTGGCATTGGATTTAGTTTGCAGACAAGAATTCTATTCTAGGCTTTGCCATTTTACCAATAAATTACTTAAACCACTGTTGTGTCCTAGTTATCTGAAAAGGGCATTATATATGTAAAGGTACTTTGTCAAGCACTTACAAATGTAAAGTATTATAGACTCTGTGTCCATCTTGGACTCAAGCCAAATGATCTTATTAGTGGAAGGGTCATAAAGACTTTGATATTATCCAGGTTCTTTTATCACCCAGGCCCATAGTGTGCTTCTTCCCATCCCTTTGGACCTGCACCATGACAAGCTGGGACTCTGCTTGTCTTTACAGATACTCTTTTCAGATGTTGTAGGGACCATTACTAGACAGCCTGAGCTATGACAAGTTGAAAATATAAATATGTTTTAATGAATACAAATATAAAATATATTTTGTTATATAATATAAATATTTGTGTTATATGATATAAAATATAAACAAAAATGGGAATCTTAGGACAAATTTTTTTAAACTCTCAGAAGAAGCATTTCAATTACAGTAGACATACACTATAATATTAGTCTCATAGTGATCAGACAGTAGGTAACTTATGAAATGATCACCCCAATAAGTCTAGTACCCATCTGAATGGTATTCATTTTTGTCAGAATACTGGAACACAACAGCCTCCTGGCTAAAACTTTATATTTTAGTAAATGTTTTAATCTCCTTAAAAAAACATTGGTGAGAGTTCTTATCTATGATTAGTTTAAA